AAGACGAACTCTGCGTATGGAGACCTTAAAGCATGCAAAGACAATGGATTATGGTGAGTTAGGGCATGTGGATTATGAACCAGAAGAGGAACCAAAAAGTGTTTTGGACAGACCAATTCCTCGCCAGAGAACAGAATCAAAAGGAGAACCCCCGGTTACAGCCAGAAGACGCAGGCGAGAGAAACAGTTTCGGGAAAAGACTCCTCCGGGTATCCAACAGAAACCCTCTTTTGAGAGCTCTTTTGATGATGAAGTGTTTGACACAACTGTTTCAATGAAGGTTGGTGACTTAACTAGCTCAATATTAAACCCAAGTGCATCAGAATTTGTTCCTAAGTTTGTTCGTCGACCTGCATATGAAATCATTGAGGCAGAAAAACAGAAAGATGCAAAACTTCATGAAAAACTCAATGCAGAAAAAGCTGAAAAAGCGTTATCCTTGCCTGAACAGAAATCTGTTACTTTGTCTAATATGAAGTTCCCAGGCAAAGATGAAATAAAAACTCAGGAGTCTCAAACTATATCTGATCGTATCACAAGGATTTTCATGGAGAAGAGCACACAGACTCCAGACAACTTTTATCCACCTATACCAACACAGGATAAAGCCATAGATGCCAATCAGTTCTCTGATGGCGGTAACTCTGTCAGCAGTCAGTGGTCCTTTGACTCTACAGCTGATCTCAGTTTGGAAATAGAGGACGGTGACGGTGAGGCTAAAGTTCCTGCCATCCCTCCTGGCAAACCACCTGTAACAGTAGCTGGAGCTGTGACTCCAATGTTAGCTCCACCATCTGAAGTAAGTAAACAAGGTACCAGCACAACTGTCTCTGTGAGCAGTGCATTGGTTCAGTCACCATCCAGCACTGCTCCAGTTACAAATATACCCGTTAAGCAACAAACCACTGTTGACAGTAGCCCAGGAAATTTTGTCCTACTTGAAAGTCCTGTAGTGACACTGCCATTACTCAGAGCTCCAGCCCCTATCAGAGTGGTGAACCCAACAACTCTTCCCCCTGGACAGGTTGTTAGGGCACCTCCCCCACAGATTGTTAGGTTACCACAGCCACCCCCTTTGCAACATGTACCACAATCACCTGTGGCCCTGGTTCAAACTGGTCCTCCATCTGTTCCACCTCAACAGGGAGTGTCTCCATTGTGGAGTGAAAGTCAAGGAGTGGATTCTGGGCATGAAGTCGTACTACCTAAGCTGGAGAAGGCAAGAGCTAGGAGAAGGCGAAGGATGGATAGAAAAAAAAAGGGTGAGGGTGATGGTCCTGATGTTCAAAATGAGAATACTCCTGTGGGAGAAGATGCATCCAATGTTGAGTTGTCCAAAACTAAAGGAGCAGATGAAAAAAAAAAACTCCCCCAGCTAATCAATGCGAATGCCAATGAAAATAAAGCTCCAATGGAAGTGATAAGGAAGTGTAGTCTGGAGAGTAATGGTTCTGATGTGTTTGTTCTGGCATCTGACAATATAGAGAATGACAGATGATGAACAGAACTCAAAGTGTATATTGCAAACTAACTTCATTTGTACATCATACACACCCTCCCCTCACCATTTTGTACAGATACAGCGTGTTGTTCCTATTTGTAATCTAAAGCTTTTGTTTGTCAAGTCACATCTTTAGACTAATATGCGTAGAATTTTTTATATATAAATATTTATATACATACACTGACTGTAGACATTCATCTGGCACCACATGCTCTGGGACAAGTTATTTTTTTGTATGTACAACTTTATTTATTTTCACTTACGTTGAATGGATCTATAACTTCAGTTTTATTTGGATAATGCTGTGAATTTATGTGATCATTTGAATTGTGATACAAGTGTTGCGCTTGATTGAAACTTGGCAATGTCTCTTGGCTTGTCTTCTGTGAAGGCTTCTTAAATGTATTTATGACCTTTTGGGCCTAGTCGTGTAACAACATTGACTTGCTATTAACCAGTTCTTAACTACAATCAAATATTTTTAAGCAAAGGAGGAATTCTCTTATTTACTCTTAATGTGTGTGTTTGTGTTCCTACTAAAAACTAATTTATAGTCATCCGACAAGAATCTCTTGAAAAACAACCCTGAGGGCTTCCTAAACTACCTTTCTTGTGTTTCGCTTACTGGAAAGAGTAGTTCTTACTAGGCAATCTCCACATTCTTTATTTGTTCTTACTACTGCCAGACTTTCGTTACTGGTATTCGTTAAGTTGTAAGACACTACCATAGGAAGAGTGGCCAGTGCTGATGAGGTAAGTTGATTTGCCTGGCTCTTCTAGTGTCCAGTGTCCTATAAGCATGGCTAAGTGTTTGATACTTCATAGTCCATTCTAGTAACGGTTTCAAAGCTTGCTACTCCTGATGAATCATTTTTTATTTTCAATGAAGGCTTTATTAACTCGTTTTAGTCTGTTAACATTGATCAGTACATTTAGACTTTTCTTTAAAATGAAAAAAAAATTGTTTTCTTATTTGGATACCTAAATGACCTTTGTGATTGTAGAATTATTTTTTTTTTATTAATGAAAGGGGTGGCATTCGCATTTTCTTTTCATTTGTAGCTTAAAATGCGTAATTGTAATGCATGTCTTTTTTTTTTTCTTTAAGCTTTCCCTACTGAATGGCATGTTGCATCTTTGTTTCTTATGTATATTTGATGTTGATAATATTTTCTGGGGTTTTCTTTTCCAAAAAAATAAAAGTGAATATTTTAAAAACTAGCCTTACCTCATTATTTGACATCAATAGTTAAAGGTATACAAATAATAAATCTTACCAATTTGTAATTTTCTCTCAACTCTCAAGTTGACTATAACACATAGGTAAGGATTTTGTTTATGTTAAAGATAAAAAAAACTAAAAAATAAAATCATAAAATAAAAAAGATCTCACCGAGGTTTTTATTGGTTCCAGTTTGAGACAGTTGTAAATAAATGCTCCTTAAATTTTTTAATTATTTTGCACCACATTGTGATGTATCTGTCTAATAATCTTCCATTTCTTTTTTGTAGCGCTATTTAAAAGATCCTGATGATGAGGACCACATGCAGCTTTTTGAACTTGTGTCGAAGCTGTTGACTTATGAGCCCTCACAGCGCTACACACTGCGCCAGGCCATGCGACATGCTTTCTTCCAGCCATACCAACGGGATTCTTATCGGCATGACGAAGAACCCCGCTCTGACTCTGCCTCGGATCGCTGCCGGTCACACAGCTTAAGCCGGTGACGGTGTGATGCCCAGAACAACTCAGATAATTTACCATCCAGCTCCAGGCTAGTTTCATCATCTCCTTACCAGCAGTACACTGATCGCAGCATGTATTCCAAGTACACAGACCATGACCAGGATCGTAACTGTGGCTTAGAGTACCAGGACAACAATCATTACCAATCTGTAAGAGATGATAATGAGAATAGGTACTATAGTAACAACAATGGCAGCCAGGATTATTACAACAACAGCCGAAATGCTGAAAACAATCGAGGCCAGCAGGAGAGTAGCAACCAGAGTGAGTACTACTCCCAGATGTACCACAGGTCCTACAATGCACCCAGCCAGAACCAGAGTTATAGCCGAGCCAGTCTGCATCAAGGTGAAGGCAGCGACCAGCAGCAGGGTCACACCTACACACAGCAAGGCAGCTACTGGCTTTAACATCTGCTGTTGTTAGTCACTAAATAATTAAGTAAAAGTTAGAAACACTAGTAGACAACCTAACCCCTTCCTGGTGTCAATGTGTTCATTAAAGCCCTGTTATGCAAGTTATTAGATCACATTGAACAAATTTGGGTTTTTTAGTTACAGTATTTCTGTGAAAGTATGGGGGCTGTTTATTGCCTACCAAACTAAACAATAAGGTGCTTTGTCATCAATGTCATTATAGAAAAGTTTCATTGGAGTTGTACTGGGCACTCAATAATGCAGTTGCAGCTTATTCTCTGCAACTTTTTCTTCTTGAGATTGGTTTTCTGTATATTTATGAAAGCTTTGTCTTTAGATGAGCCTGTTTTGTGTTTGAAGTTTGAAATTATTACTTTTTTTTGTGATTGCTGTTAGCATTAATGTATAAATATTCCCATTGCTGCGATATTTGTTATGTGTGCATGAGGTCATTTGTAAAGATGCCAAGAAAAACCTATTGTCCAATGAGCACTCATTTTTATGTTTTTCTTCTAAAGACTAGTTAAGCTGAACCACAGTTAGCCACTGTACTTAGAAGTGTGATTGCACTGGTCCAGTCTAATATGTCCATGTTCTTGTGTGTTTGATCATACTATTTACCAGTAAGTTGTATGCTTATGTTTCAACTTGAGCGTTGTATTTTTTGCACACTCCAGTAAAGTCTATCAGCTGAAAGAGTAAATGTCTTGACATGTATTCAGATTTGAATTAATTCATCTCTTCTTTAAGCAAACTCGTATTTTGTATTTGATTTCACATCCCTTATATTGTTCTATTTTCTTTGTCCCCGAAATTAAACTTTTTTTTTTCATTATGAATGTTCTCTCCCATTGGCATCTTAATTGTCATTTAATTATTTTGGTGCTAAGCTAAAAATATAATAATAATTATTTGACAGGTCAGTGGTGTAGATACTTTTCAATAATAGTTTGTGTTCTGCTCGAAAAAATAAAATGTACTTGCAAATACTAAAATATAAGATTGTGAACTAGTTACAAATGTTAATTCATTGCACTTCAAACTAAATTGAAAAAAGGCACTTCTGTTACCAAAAATCTATTCCATATTTGAACCTTGTCTTTGATATGGACATATTTTTAATGTAGAGGTAAATGTTTGAATGTTTTATTTCTAGGCCAACTTTTGTTTTTCTCTCTAGATTGTACATACAAAATAAAATTGTGAATGATTGAAAATAAACTTAGTTGTTTTTTATGAATTGCATTACAGGAAAGTTTGTGTGGATGTAACATTAGAGTGATGATGTTTGTTTGTGTGGATGTAACATTAGAGTGATGATGTTTGTTTGTGTGGATGATGGGTGTAAGTGTAAAGTTATAGAAACATTCTTTTTTGAACTCACTTGACCAAATACAAAAAGTGTTTATTCAAATTGTTGCCCAGCTTCTCAATATTACAACTGAACCTCTACTGCTAGTTCTTCAAGGGAATCACTTGAGCTTTATTTGTAATATTAATACTAATACCACTGCCCTGCAAAAAGTTAATGAATGCTATCTAATGCATTTCTTTTTTCCATGATTACATAATATACTCTTGTGAGTTCTGCTATGTAGCATATAGAATGTGAAATTTATTGCATGTATAAGCAGTTTAAAATACCGGTATAGATTTATATCACTTCATACAAATACATTGGACATGTTTAAATGAGACTCATCATTTGTGAATGAAAACAAGGTTGAGCTACTAGTGAAGTAGTTTTATACTGCAGTACCTAGTTGATGTGCTATTGAATGTTTTGTGGTAGGTAATTCCTATTTTCTGTAGCCAGAAGAGTGCTGCTAAGAAATTTTAACTTTAAAAACGAAAAAAAAAAGTCACTTTTTTTAAAGAGATCTCTGGACACGTAATTTGAACTTGCGAAAAAGTGTATTAATATATACATTTGACGAAGAAAACAACTCATTACAAAATACATGAATAATAGTTTAGCCTACAGCAATTCTACTTGGTATGGTGCACAGCTCACTCCTGCTAAAGTTTTTAAAGGTTACGGTACTTCGCTTTTGTCGTCACAGTCCTCACCGCAAGTGACACTAGCCTGATGAAACTGGACCAAGGAGTTATCAGGTTTGTACACACACATACACTATATAGATTTAGGTCAATAATTGTATGATTATTATCAAACGTAAGCGTAGTTTGTTAGGCTCCAAGTCGTTACATTACTGCACAAGTATAATACTGGCACCTGTAATAATAATCTGAATAATTTTCATAAATAGATTCTTTAGTGAATTCAGTGTTCAAAACTAGATATAGATCATTTATGTATACATTTTAGCTCTAAACCTTCAGCTCTGCTTTCTTACTTTTGAAGCACTAACAATGTATTAGGACTATTAAGTCAACCACATTGATCTTAAAATAGAACGACATTGCTATTGTTTCATCTATTTACTTCAGCATCTTTTTTTTTCAAGTTCCATTTTATAGCCCCCCCCCCCCCCCCGGATATATTTCCATATCTCTTCTTTCTTACTGTTATTTATTGCTTAAAGAATGTTAACCGAATCATAAAATCAAAACGTAAAGAGCAGATTTCTGAGTTAATTATGAATTAGCCTACAATCCTACATGGTTGCATTGTCATTGTCAACAAGGACGAAACACGAATTAGTCTGCAGCCTTAAGCTTCCCTATGCATTCTGTCACGGCTTTCTTTGATCCCGGCGTGTTCTGGAGATAAGCAAAGTAGACTCCTGTCATGTGTTTCCGATTGACCGGGTGGACTTGGTCCAGTCTGTCCAGTTCCATTCTGTAAAATTCTTGCTGTGTTCTTGTGTAGTCTTCCTTAATCTTGGCTTGGGCGTTGGCGCTGTATTTAGTCTTCAGATGCTCTCTGTAATGATGGAACAAGTAAAATATATTTTTAAAAAATCATTTTAATTTTTTTTTTTTTAAATATCTAAGGGGAAGAACTCCATATTTACAGTTATATATATATTTTAATAATGTAGAAATTCATTCCCGTATTTAAGGGAAGAACTCCGCACTTTAAAAACATATCTCATTAATGTAGAAGTTATTTCCCTTATTTGATAACCACAATAATTAATTGACCAAATAATTCATGTTTTGTTAGGTACAATAAAATAATTGTTTAAGGTTTCAACTTGATGAAAGAATGGGTATGTAAAGTGTACAATTTTCTAAAGGGGACCGACCGACCGAACCCTACATATTTAGCCATATTTGTGAATACTGAAGGATTCATTTCCCTTGTTGGTAAGGTATCAAACAAAACAATTAAGTACCAGCTATTGGCTAATGGTTTATTTTTTTAATGGATTCCTAACTTGTCTATGCCAATGAATAATTGTGCAAAGTTTCAGCTTGATCCGAAAATGGGTGAGGGAGAAATAACGTGTATAAACTTTTTTCCAGATAGACAGAGTGAATTGATATAAGCTTGGTAAAAATACGCCTAAATTTGGCTCAAAATATCCTATCAATATCTAACTTATTTTTAAAAAATAACGCAATGATTTTCACTCTTTTCATAAAAATAAACACGATACCGCACCTGATCTCATGAGTGTAGATTGTAGATAACATTTTCAACAGATATGTTGAAGAACCTGCTTATCATAAATAGTATACAATAGGAGATGACAGCGCTAAGGGAAAGAATTGATGCAGTAGCATTACTAAGCAAACAAATATTTGAGGCTATGGCCTATAACTGATGCTTGGAAACTGCCGTTAGGCCTGCATCGCTTGTATCTAACACATGTTCAGTGCGATTTGCATAAATCTCTTTTATGAACCAGTGAATGGAGGGGTATCTGGGAGAGGGTTAATGGAGGGGTATCTGGGAGAGGGGTTCCATGCTGCCTTTGGGTGCTCAGCAAACACAACTCTGCTCAAGCTCGAGCCCCCCTTGTTGGGTAGCCAAGCCGTAGCCACACATCTACTGTTGTGTAAATGAACAAAAAAAAATATTTATATTCAGAGAATATTATGTGGGGATAAGAAACAAAAAAGGAACTTAAAAAAAAAATGAATATAAGTTTAATTTTGGTTTTAAGCTTTGTCCTTATTATAATCCGTTCTATTTCAACCCTTATCATATTTTTTAAATTATGTATAGCCTACTTCTAATTCCCAGGCCAAAATATTTAATGTCTCATCAGCTATATGCCTACCGAACTCTGAAATGAAAATATTGATACATTCTCATTAATTTTAACTTGCCAGAGTTTACGGACCTTTAATTATTGACCCCCCCCCCCCCCCCAAAAAAAAAATCCATTTGTGATCTAGATCTATATGTTGTATGACAATCTATATGTTGTATGACAACCTATATGTTGTATGACAACCTATATGTTGTATGACAACCTATATGATGTATGACAATCTATATGTTGTATGACAATCTATATGCTGTATGACAATCTATATGTTGTATGACAATCTATATGCTGTATGACAATATATATGCTGTATGACAATCTATATGTTGTATGACAATCTATATGTTGTATGACAATCTATATGCTGTATGACAATATATATGCTGTATGACAATATATATGTTGTATGACAATCTATATGTTGTATGACAATCTATATGTTGTATGACAATCTATATGTTGTATGACAATCTATATGCTGTATGACAATCTATATGTTGTATGACAACCTATATGTTGTATTACTTACCTTAAGGTTGGGACGTCGCTGTAGTACAAAGGCTTAGTTTCCAGTTCTTTTAGATCCATTCGAATGACAGGAAATCTTGTGGCTGCTGTTTCTTCTCTGTTCGATGGTTTCTTTGCCCTTCCTTCTCTCCTTCATTGAAATGTGTACACAATGGTTTGATTAGAACAATAGCAACATCGTACACAGTTTCATACAGTGGCGTAACTAGAGTAGTGGAGGAGGGGGGAGTTTTTTAAATTCCCCCGGGCTCCTACTTGAGGGGGGCCCCAAATGAGTATTTTTTTTACATTAAATATTAAATACCGGTACTACGCAAAATGCAGAGGACCCATAGAGGTCAAGCCCACCGAGCCCCCAAATGATGGTAAATTCGTAGCTACGCCCCTTGTTTCATACAAAAGATCATAAAAAATATTTGTATTTAGCTTGGTCAGAGTTTTTCAATCTGTAGTCCTATGCAAAACTGGCACTAAGAGCTGTGGAGATTTGTGTACATAGAATTTGGGACATTTAGAAACCACCAACATGTAAAAGTAAAAAAAAAAGTATCCCTTTCAGACCTTGTGATCTGTAGGTCATCCAGTTTTATGTCCAGCACAACGACCAATAGCATTTACTTTCCCAGACTAATGCCATGTACCCTTTGGAGTTGAGTGGACTTAGGGGCACGGAGATGCGTGGACCCAGAGGCGTAATAAAAATATTGAAATCACAATATCATAGTCTTCAACGAGATTGAACGCCCAAGACCCCGCGAAAGCCAAGCACTTGATCACTCTGTCACGCCCGTGGAGGCCTCTACATGTACTACAAATAAATATCTTTCTACGTTATCTGTCTCGAGTGTTCCTTCTACTTCACATCACCGACTCTTCTCTTTCAAACTCCCCATCTCAGACTTTTCCAATTAAATCTCCCGTCTCCGACTATTCCCTTTACATAATATCTCCTTAATATTCAGTACAGTAGGCCTACACGAATTGTTGGCCCCATTTGAACAAATAACGAGTTGAAAGTTCTGGCATTAGTTATGCTTGCAAATTGTTGGCCTCATTCAGTCTTACAACAAATAATGAGTTGAAAGACCTGGCATTGGTTATCCTTGCAACAATGTCGCCCACACAGCAGTTCCCTCTCTACACGCAGATGACGTGTCCAAAGGAACAGCAACTGATGGTACAGTATGAGATCATTTGTGTCGCAGGTTCGGGCAGTCTGTAGCACTGTGTTGGGGTTGTCTTCCGAATCCTTTACCATGCTTAGATATGGCTGCAACGGAATGGGTTGCCTAAATTAGCCAGGAAAACCAACAACTTGGCAGATTTTAAATCACTGATTAGCATTCATGACTAGATTGATACATGGATACGCGAAATAGGTAATTATCTTCTCGTTTGAAGAAATGTATGCAGTTTATATAAGATAATATGATTCTTACTCTCTCAGGCCCCAGTTACTTGCCTTTGCTTTTTCTCCCATTTGTGATTAACAAATTATTAGTTCAGCATTCTAAACTGTACCCTTTATCAAAATTATAGTGGTCGCTCACGTTGGCAATTTATGTTAAATAAACATAACAAGTTATCAACATGACGATGTTCAAGTGTGGGACCCAGTTTGAGTGTGCTACATTGATTGTATTTAAAAGATAAAGCCTATGAAGAATAAATATGAAAATAAAAAATTAAAAAAAGCTTTACTTTGAAGTCTCAGCATTAAGAGTGGCTTGCCGTGGCGATATGATGGGAGGCAACTCGGTGCTCATTTTTAGGTCCACCCAGGGATCAATTAGAGTCTGTGCTGTAGATCTGCTGGAAAAGCCTTGAATCTTCTCATCTGGCTAAACACATTAGAATATATATATATATAAAAAGATAATGTATTAATGTAGTCAGATGCATCGCTGGGTTTGGCGCCATCTTTACTTATTACAGATGCCCCTTCAAAAAAGTTCCTGAAGTCGCCCCCCCCCCCACCATCAGCACTTCCCAAAACACAATTTTCCCCATAGAAATTACCGCAAGATTATTTTTACAAAGCTTATACCATTGAACACATTATTGCCCAGAAAACCATTCTCAGATCAAGTTGAAACATTGCAGAATTATAAAATTATTGATAGGCAAAGACAATGAATCAATTTAAAAACTGACCCAATTAGTCAATTAATTGATGGTTATTAATTATTTTGCTTAATACTAATGTAAATTTTTTCACAGATACGGCTAAATATGTATGGTTCTGTCTCCTTAGCTAGGTAATCGTACACGTTATTTCTCCCACACCCATTCTCGAATCAAGTTAAAAGTTTAAACAATTATTCTTTGTACCTAACACCTCAAAAATCAATTAAAAATAACCAGTCAATCAATGGGTAATTAATTATTTCATTTGAATTGAAAAAGGAAATAAATTCTACAGTATTGAGCAACATAGCTGTAAATGAGGTGTTCTTGCCTAATCATATTTTTTTTAAAACTTATCTTATAGTTTGCTTGTATATTTTTTTTTTTTTAGATTTTCATTTTTACTGTATACAAAGAAAAATCCATTATTTTCCTAATAGGTCGCAGCACTGGTGCCCAAACTTTTTTCAGAATGCGGTCATAGAAAATTCTAACCCTGGTTACGAGACATATCCTCACAGAAACATAACCTGTCCCATTTATTTCATGCCATATGAACAGAACTGTTGATATCACGGACTGGATATGATGTAACATGGGTAGGCCTGTAAGACTACACTGTAAGTGGGAAACGCAACCTAGCAACCACCTCTTAAACA